ACTACTACCACTACTACTGCTGCTGCTGCTGCTACTGCTACTGCTACTACTACTACTACCACTACTGCTGCTGCTGCTGCTGCTGCTACTGCTACTACTACCACTACCACTACTGCTGCTTCTGCTGCTACTGCTACTACTACCACTACTACTGCTGCTGCTACTGCTACTGCTACTGCTACTACTACCACTACTGCTGCTGCTGCTGCTGATACTGCTGCTGCTGCTACTGCTACTACTACCACTACCACTACTGCTGCTTTTGCTGTTGCTGTTGTTGCTACTGCTGCTGCTGTTCTTGTTGGGGCTACTGCTACTGCTGCTGCTGCTGCTGCTGCTGCTGCTGCTGCTGCTGCTGATACTGTTGCTGTTGTTGCTACTGCTGCAGTTCTTATTGGGTCTACTGTTGCTGCCGTCGCCGCCGCCGCCACTACCACTACAACTACCACTACCACTACTATTACTACTGCTACTACTGCTGCTGCTACTGCTGTTGCTGGCGCTACTGATGCTGCTACTACTGTTACTGCTATGACAACGCCCGCTGTTTCTGATTTACTCATCAGTATTAATCTCTGCTTAAGCATTATATCACAGTCGATGCGTCGTAGAACACGATCATATCTCACCATTCCCTACTCCGCCCCTAACACATTACTCACTCACACATACAGACCTACACACCTCGTGTATACCGTACGCCCATGTGTACACCCCATCCTCAACCCCACACTCATTACAACTCTTACCTACCGTCTTACCACGCGTGTGAATCCCTCCTACACATCTTTCACCTACGTCAAATCTCCCCTGTAACAGACTAACGTCTTTCCCCGATTACACATCTCAGTGCACACATCTCGCCCCGCCCCAGCGTCACCCCTCCGCACCTACTATCGTCATCGTCAACGTCGTGCCTGCGTCAACCACAAGCTATCGTCATCGTCATCGTCAACGTCGTGCCTGCGTCAACCACAAGCTATCGTCATCGTCAACGTCGTGCCTGCGTCAACCACAAGCTATCGTCATCACCATCGCCAACGTAGTGCCTGCGTCAAATCAAGCTATCGTCATCGCCAACGTCGTGCCTGATTCAAATCAAGCTATCGTCATCGCCAACGTCGTGCCTGCGTCAACTACAAACTATCGTCATTGTCATCGCCAACGTCGTGCCTGCGTCAACTACAAACTATCGTCATCGTCAACGTCGTGCCTGCGTCAACCACAAGCTATCGTCATCGCCATCGCCAACGTAGTGCCTGCGTCAAGTCAAGCTATCGTCATCGCCAACGTCGTGCCTGCGTCGACTACAGACTATCGTCAACGTGTTGTAAGAGACGCGCCGCCGCCGTACGACAGCCATACGATAGTAGGTTATAACGAGCGGTTGAAGTCAGCAGCGCATCCCTCGTGTCTCTCGCAAAATGTCACCGCCCACGCCGCGCGCGTCGTGTATCATAGAGGCGGGTTCAGCCATCCGTGCATGACACCGGACTGTAAGGCAATTAGACCCGAGCCCTCGCACGACCGAAGCCATATATGTGCCTTACTGCTGTCGGCATGGCGACGGGAAGACACCTGGGAGATGTCGCGATGGCATAGGCAGGTAGCAAGCAGCAAGCAGAGAGACTAGTTCTTGTCGGCGATCTAGGCAACGCACTAAATCCGAAATCAGTCTTAAATCAAGAATGCCCACCGGTGACTCTCCGTGCAAGGATTCTCACAAGCTCTGTAGTTGGGGAAGTCTCTTACTAGTCCGGGAGGGGGGAATGCGGGAGGTCACGCAGTCGTTGAATGGTCAGGCCGCGTTTTAAGCCAAATCCGACCGTTTTCGCCCGCGGAAATAATCCCGGCCGGTTCTGCTTACAAAAGCGTCGGTGCAACGGCGCGCTGTTTGTTTAGGTTAATCGCATCCTGGCCTCTCGTTTGGAGAGGAGAAATAGAAAAAATCGCCAAACCCACTAATCCAGTCCACACGCACCGCGCACACGCACGCACACACGAGTGTATACGCGCGTACCTGCACGCGCGCGTGTGTGCGCGTATGCATGGT